ACAATAATAAAGAGAGTAAAATAATAAACGTAATAATAATAATAATAAAGTAAAATAATGGAAATGCAATAATAGCAGTAATAATAGAGTAAAATATTAAATGTAATAATAGAGTAAAATGATAAATGCAATACTAATAAAGTAAAATAATAAATCTAATAATAATCATAAATAGTGTAAAATAATAATAATAGAGTAACATACTGTAAATGTAATAATAATAGAGTAAAATAATACATGATATAAAAATAATACTAATAACAGAGTAAAATAATAAATAACCTTGAGTCGAGTATAAGCCGAGGGGAGCTTTTTCAGTCCAAAAAAGTATACACTCGAGTATATACAGTATATTTATGGAATAGAATCATAGACTCATATAGTTGGACTCATCCAGTTCATAGACTCATCCAGTCCAACCCCCTGCCATGCAGGAAAAGCTCAATCAAAGTGCCACTGACAGATGGCCATCCAGCCTCTGTTTAAAAGCCTCCTAAGAAGGAGCCTCCCCCACAATCCAAGGCAGTGAGTTCCACTATTGAACAGTTCTTACAATCAGGGTGTTCTTCCTAATGTTCAGGAGAAATCTGAAATTTGAAGCCATTGCTCCACTGCATCAATAGGAGCATAGTGTCTAGATCTAGGGAAGTAATGCTACCCCTCTATTCCGCTTTGGTTAGACCACACCTGGAATATTGTGTCCAATTCTGGGCACCACTTTTGAAGAGAGATATTGAGAAGCTGGAATGTGTCCAGAGGAGGGCGACTAAAATGATCAAGGGTCTGGAGAACAAGCCCTATGAGGAGCGGCTTAAGGAGCTGTGCATGTTTAGCCTGAAGAAGAGAAGGCTGAGAGGAGATATGATAGCCATGTATAAATATGTGAGAGGAAGCCACAGGGAGGAGGGAGCAAGCTTGTTTTCTGCTTTGGAGACTAGGACGCAGAACAATGGCTTCAAACTACAAGAAAGGAGATTCCATCTGAACATGAGGAAGAACTTCCTGACTGTGAGAGCCGTTCAGCAGTGGAACTCTCTGCCCTGGAGTGTGGTGGAAGCTTTTAAACAGAGGCTGGATGGCCATCTGTCAGGGGTGATTTGAATGCAATATTCCTGCTTCTTGGCAGGGGGTTGGACTAGATGGCCCATGAGGTCTCTTCCAACTCTTTGATTCTATGATTCTATGAGTTCTAGTTTCCAGGGCAGCAGAAAACAAGCCTGCTCTGTCATGGAGGAAGATGTGCCTTTTCTGAGAGCTATCAGGCAGATATGTAGTTTCCGTACATGCGGAAGAACCTGGCTTCACTTGTCAACATCTGAAAGGTCTCAGGGTGAAATGGCTGAAGCTTGTGATGATGAAACCAATCTCTGACCAATCTCTTTGGAAAAGTCTCCCTCAACTCAACCCACCAAAAGTGTTCAAGGAAGCATATGAAGCCCGTCTTCCACTTTTGTTGGCATTAGAGGCACAAGCCCACTGCAAAACTGCAAATAATAGAAAACACTCTTTTTTAAAAAAAACCCATCAGAAATCTCTCTAGGAATCTTTAGATCCCAAAGTACAGCTTATGAGCAACTGAAGTTCAAAATATTTGGGTGGACCAAAGATTGAACTAGAAGCTGGCTTGCAGTTTTCAGCCAAATCTCTCCCATATAAAATGCAACTTGGGTTGCAAAAAAGCAACTCAGTGTACACTTCTGCCTGTTTCTCTCTCTTAGTTCAAACCCAGCACTAAGTTACACTCCTTTGACTTCTATACGGTCTGGCCCAAAAGATGTAATACAGCATTCATGGGCAGCCAAGGCCCCTTTTACACTGCCATACAAAATCCAGATTAATTGCTTTGAATTGGATTATAGGGCAATGTAAAAGGTGAAGGTTTCCCCTTGACATTAAGTCTAGTCGTGTCCGACTCTGGGGGGTGGTGCTCAATTCCATTTCTAAGCTGAAGAGCCGGCATTGTCCATAGACACCTCCTGGGTCATGTGGGCAGCATGACTGCATCGAGTTCTGTTACCTTCCCGCCGGAGTGGTACCTATTCATCTACTCACATTTGCATGTATTCGAACTGCTAGGTTAGCAGAAGCTGGGGCTAACACTCTGCTCCCCAGATTCGAACTGCTGACCTTTTGGTTAGCAAGTTCAACAGCTCAGTGGTTTAACCTGCTGCGTCACAGGAGCTTCCATAGGGTAGTGCAAACTTGTATAATTTATAATTTATTAATTTACAGCATTTATATTCCGCCCTTCTGACCCCGAAGGGGACTCATGACACACCACAGAACACATAAATGGCAAACATTCAATGCCGTTAGACATACAGGACAGGCAGACAGATAGAGGTATGTGTTGGCTTTGGTGTCCTGGAGGTTATGCTCAGTTATGGCCACAGGGGGTGCTTTCGCTCCATCCTCAATGACAACTAGCGTTTTATGATCACAGACTTTCTTCCTGTTCTTTGATCGCTAGCTTCTTATGGTGCCGTAAAACACCTCCCCTCTTAAGCGGTGCCTAATTTCTCTACTTACAGTTGTTTTCGAACGGTTTAGGTGGACAGTAAGCAAGGCTGAAGGTGTGGTGCTCAACCCAACCCAGGCTCGAACTGCCAACCTTTCAGTTGGGAAAGATCTATTGCTGCTTATGATTAACCAGCTGTGTTAAAGCCTTGCCTAATCCAGTTCAAAGCAGATAATGTGGACTATCCTCTTTGATAATCTGGATTTTATGGCAGTGTAGAAGCTAAGACATTCATTCTGTGCTGGCAAGTGACATCTGGCCCTGTCCCTCGGCTTACAGTTGGGAACTGCAAAATAATAATAATAATAATAATAATAATAATAATAATAATAATTTGTTTATAAACTATCTCTCTCCGAAGGGACACTTGCATTCTGATGAATATCAAGCAGCTGTGTGTTTAATGCTCCCACCTTCTAGATATAATTAAATTCCTTAAGCGGCAGGGCTGCACTCAACCGAACAAAAGCTGCAGTTGGATCCAAACCACAGAATCTCTTGAGCAATGTTTGAAATTGACAACGTGCTTAGCTGTTCACATAAGGTCGATGCAACTCCTTCTAGGTGAATAGTCCTGTCAATCTATTCCTAGGATAAATAGGTACGGAGGGAACTGGCTTAAAAAACAAGAATGACAAATGAATGGACAACTCAAGCCTGACCTCTCCCTAGAAGCCAAGGTGACTAAGGGAGGTTGTCATACTATGCCACATCATGAGCTAATAATGCTTGGAAAGGTAAAAGATGAAGCCTGCATTCCTGATGGATGGACTCAACCAAGGATTGCCTAACTTGGAAATCTACCATTCATGGGGTCATCAGAACTCAACTTGATGGCAGCTAACAACAAATCTATTCCAACTCCTGCAGCTAAACTGAGGAATATTCAGTGTGAGCACATGCATCAAGGTGAGTGCAAATTCCATATGATGCGCCACACTGAACTCCCCCCCCCCCCACAAAAAAACCCCTCATTTGTATTTTAGCACAGCTGGTAAATCATCAACAAGTGAGAAGATCTACTAATCAAAAGGTTGCCAGTTCGAAGCTAGGGGTCAGCATGAACACCCGACTATCAGCCCAGCTCACTGTTTACCTAAGCAGTTCGAAAACAGCTCAGAGCTGTAAGTAGAGAAATTAGGTACCGGTAAAAAGTGGGGGAGGTACTTTAGGTAAAGGTAAAGGTGTTCCCCTGACATTAAGTCCAGTCGTGTCTGACTGTGCTGCTCATCTCAATTTCTAAGCCAAAGAGCCAGTGTTGTCTGTAGACACCTCCAAGGTCATGTGGCCAGCATGATTGCATGGTACGCTACCTTCCCGCAGAAGCGATATCTACTGATCACATTTGCTTGTTTTTGAACTGCTAGGTTAGCAGAAGCTGGGGCTAACATTCAAAGCTCACCTCACTCCCCGGATTCGAACCTGTGACCTTTCGAACAGCAAGTTCAGCAGTTCAGAGGTTTAACCCACTGGGCCACCGGGGGCTCTGGAGGTATTTTACGACACCATAACAGAAAAGATCAGAAAATGCCCAGTGACCAAAAGGAAGGAGGAAGTCCTGATGACTCTTTGTCATAGAAGATGGCGCAACAGCACCCCCCTGTGGCTGGATTTGAGCACAACCTCCAAGGTGCCAAAAAGCTGTACGTCAACACAACATACCTCTGTTCTGTCTGTTCAAACGGCATTGAATGTTAGTTTTGTATGTGTAACTGTGATCTGCCCTGAGTCCCTTTGGGGAGATAGGGCAGAATATAAATAAAGCAATATTATTATTATTATTATTATTATTATTATTTGTACTGATTTGCACTAAGTTTGTGCACATGTCACAGAGCGATTGAATGTTAGTTGTGTATGTGTAACTGTGATCTGCCCTGAGTCCCCTTGGGGAGATAGGGCGGAATATAAATAAAGCATTATTATTATTATTGTTATTATTATTATTATTTGTACTGATTTGCACTAAGTTTGTGCACATGTCACAGAGCGAAGAAAGGCGCTCTCACTACAAAGGAAATCCTACCAAGTTCCACCTCAGATTCCTGAGATTTGATCTGAACATACATGTGCGTAGTTCATTTGGCAGCTATGGGGACTAGAAAGTTGCTTTTAAAAAACGCAGACTTAAAAGTGGATATGCTAAATTATACCAAGTATCCAATTCTGCACTTTGCTATAAACCAAAGCGAATGTGGAGTAGCTATTTAAGCATCGGACTACAATGCTAGAGATGAGAGTTACATTCTCCATTTGGCCATGGAAACCAACTAGGCAAGTCACACACACTCAGCCCCAAAAACCCCAGTGATAAGATCACCATAAGTGAGAAACAAGTTGAAGGCACGCAATGATGGCAATCATTTTCAAAAACAGGACACGGCCCTGAGCCTCTGGGGTAGGAAAGGGATGGGAATGTTAGGAACAGGACCCCCCGCGACCTCCCCTTCCGCTGCTCTTTGCCCCCCAAGGGGTCTCTTACTTCTACTGGGTGAGTTCCAGAGGGTGGCAGAAGATTTGGAGAGGCGTTTGTTGATTATAGAGTCCACATGTTTGGGGAGGTTTACAGCAGAAAGGGAGCACCTGCTGGCACCTACGAGAGGGAAAAGACAGACGGGCGTTAGGGGCAGTGGGGCGGGCATGCGCCATGCAGCGGCGGAGGTCATGCAACGAAGGGAGCAGGAGGAGAGGGAGCGGTCGCAGGGAAGAGGGTGCCGGCATCATACTTTTGCCCTGTTTGCACAGGGCACACACCACGTATCTGTTGCATGTGCCGGTCCAGGCTCAGCAACCATAATTCATTTGAATTTACTTATCTCTTTGCTCTCGCATAAATACATTTACTACAAGTAGTTGTATATAACTAGTCACAGTAGGCCCTCCACTTTTGCAGGAGGTTAGGTGGAAAAATCATGAAATCATTTATTTCTAACCTAATTTCTAAATTTCTCTAGGAATGTCTAAGGCTGGATCAACACTGTGATATAATCCGGAGTATTAAAGCAAACAAATCCACATTATCTGCTTTGAACTGGATTATGAGTCTACATTGCCATATAATCCAGTTCAGTGCAAATAATCTAGATTATATGGCAATGTTGATCCAGGTTTAGGCCCCTTCTACACTGCCATATGATCCAGATTATTGATAATAACCATTATCTACTTTGAGTTGGATTATATGAGTCTACACTGCCATATAATCCAGTTCAAAGCAGATGATCTGGATTATATGACAATGTAGATCCAGTCTTAGGCCCCTTCTACACTGCCTTATAAACCTTATTATCGAAGATGATAATCACCATTATCTGAGTTGGGTTATATGAGTCTACACTGCCATATAATCCAGTTCAAAGCAACTAATCTGGATTATATGGCAATGTCGATCCAGTCTTAGGCCCCTTCTTCACTCCCATATAATCCTTATTATCAAAGATGATAATCACCATTATCTGAGTTGGGTTATATGAATCTACACTGCCATATAATCCAGTTCAAAGCAAATAATCTGGATTATATGGCAATGTTGATCCAGTCTTAGGCCCCTTCTATACGGCCATATAATTTAGATTATCAAAGATGATAATCCACATTATCTACTTTGAATTGGATTGTATGAGTCTACACTGCCATATAATCCAGTGCAAAACAGATAATCTGGATTATATGGCAATGTCGATCCAGTCTTAGGTCCCTTCTACATGGGCATATAATACAGATAATCCACATTATCTTCTTTGAGTTGGATTATATGAGTCTATACCACCATATAATCCAGTTCAAAGAAAATCTGAATTATTTAGCAGTCTAGATAGAGTCTAAATTCTCAAGCACAAATCTGTGGTTAACATCTGGAGTAAATTGACCACAGATTCACACTGGAGGACCTAGAAATGTCTAGAGAACTATTCCCTTTAGGAATCTCTAGATCAGTGGTTCTCAACCTGTGGGTCCCCAGATGTTTTGGCCTTCAACTAACAGCTGGTAAACTGGCTGGGATTTCTGGGAGTTGTAGGCCAAAACACCTGGGGGCCCACAGGTTGAGAACTACTGCTCTAGATCCTCCAGCATGCTACAATTCCATATAATCCAGATAATCAAAGAAGAAAGTCCACATTATCTGCTTTGAACTGGATTATATAGAATCATAGAGTTACAAGAGACCTTGTGGGCCACCCAATCTACACTGAGTCTACACTGCCATATAATCCAGCTCAAAGTGGATAATCTGGATTTTATATGGCAGTGTAAAAGAGGCCTTAGGTCAACCTATCCCAAAGGCTGACCCCTCTTTGTTGTGAAGGACCAAGAGATTCTTAGAGGGAACATCTTAGTCAAACCCACAAATAAAATCTGCAATTGTTAAACCTGCAAATATGGAGGGCCAAATGGACTTCCAAGCTTTGCTGACTTGTTCGTTGGATCATCTGCTGTTGAGACTCAGCATTTGTCTCATGCACCTACTACTAGTAGTAGAAGGAAACGTGGTTTAGAGGATGAAGAAGCTCAGCAACAGCTGAAACGGATTAGAGACTACGGATGAGGAGGATTTTGAGGGTTTTACTCGCGAGGAAATGGAGCTGGAAGATTACAGAGGTGTAAAGAGAGTAGGCAGCAGCTCGAATAGCAATGTGGGATCTGTTGCTAAACGCCTTAGAGATATAGCTGATTGTGGGGAGTTTGACAGCGAAGAGGAAGAGCTGGACTGGACTAAAGTTCAGGAAGTAATGGATGTGATTACTGCTCCCACCTCTAGTGATGAATTCCAGGGTTTTGATGATACTTGGGTTGCAGATAATACTTTGCAGGATGGAGCCCGAAGTACTGACTGGCAACAATGGCGCAGCCGGGATTCACCTGTGGAATTAGACGCAGCTGAAAGTGACTCCAGCGACTCTGATGAGATTTAAGGAGCAGTTTGGGGACAAACTGATCGCAGAGTTCAAAGTGTCGCGTTACCGTGTGCCTTGTGTTTAACTCCTGCCGTGAGCTCTTGTTTGCAGCTTCGTGTTTCCTGATCGTGTGAACAACCCTGCCGGAACCAGACTCGTGAGTCTTCCTTGCCTTGACCCTCGGACTGCCTGACTACGCCTCTGCTAATCCCTGGAATCTTCGTTGGACCGCTCTTCATGCGGATTGCTGTTTGCTGTTTTGTTTGCCTTTGAAACGGACTGAGTTTTACTGCTGAATCCAAGCTGCCTGCTTCTGTTTAGACTTGCTTTCCTTTTGCCAGCAAAGACTGACTGAGACCAGTTTGTTTACATTCCTGCTGACCGCAAGCCTTTTGTGTTTACAACTCTGACTTTAAGAGCCTCCTTTTGTTTTGTTAATAGACATTAAAGACCTTCATTTAACTCTTACAGTGCCGTTTGCTTTGCTGGTCTGCCTGGGTCTTGACAGATACATAAGCACAATCGTTCTCAACCTGGGGTCCCCAGATGTTTTGGCCTTCAACTCCCAGAAATCCTAACAGCTGGTAAACTGGCTGGGATTTCTGGGAGTTGTAGGCCAAAAACATCTGGGGACCCCAGGTTGAGAACCACTGCTCTAAAATGTCCTTCGATGCAAATCTGTGAGGTTAAACTGCCCTATGACTTTCCCTTCCTTGAAGTAAGAAGACCTTTAACGTTGTAATTTAACCTATCCAGCCATAATGAATGCAAACCCTTAGGGGAGTGAGCGCAGCCCACGGTGCAGAATGTGGCCCTACAGCATGAACCCCTTTTCCTTCTTATGGGTTTCCAGATAGTGGGAGGAAAGCCACAAAAGGGATTTCCAGAGCAAATGGGACTTGGAATGTTAGTGTGTCAGTGGAAAGAGAGGAAAAAAGAAGGAAAACAGAGCAGGAGAAAGCAAGAATGTGTCTTTGCAGGAACGTATGATGAGCACCTTAAGAGATTGCAAGATCTGAATTGGATAGATGGGTCACCTGAGGCCAAATATCCCACTCGTGCATAATACAGAGATGTTTCCATGCTAAACACATGGAGATCCAATGTAGTGCTTAAAGTGTTGAACCAGACCGGGACAGTTTTGTGGCTCCTCTCTCAAAGTGACCTACCTCGCAGGATTGTTGAGAAGGCCTCCTGGAGCTCATTGGAGGAAAAGCAGGAGAAAGAAATTCACAAATAAAGCACTACATGATATGTTGTTGAACGCTTTCATGGCCAGAATCACTGGGTTGTTGTGAGTTTTCCAGGCTGTATGGCCATGTTCCAGAAGCATTCTCTCTTGATGTTTCACCTGCATCTATAGCAGGCATCCTCAGAGGTTGTGTGGTCTGTTGAAAACTAGGAAAATTGTGTTTATATATCTGTTGAATGTCCAGGGTTGGAGAAAGAACTCTTGTCTGGGTTGTTGTAGGGTTTTTTTTTAACTATATGACTATGTTCTAGAGGCATTCTCTCCTGACGTTTCGCCTGCATCTATGGCAAGCATCCTCAGAGGTAGTGAGGTCTGTTGGACCTAGAAAAATGGGTTTATATATCTGTGGAATGACCAGGGTGGGACAAAGAACTCTTGTCTGCTGGAGCTAGGTGTGAATGTTTCAACTGACCACCTTGATTAGCCTTGTAGCATCAAAGCCTGGCTGCTTCCTGGATGTTTTTGATGTTTTACCATCCTTGTGGGAGGCTTCTCTCATGTCCCCACACGGGGAGCTGGAACCAACAGAGGGAGCTCATCCGTGCTCTCCCAGGATTTGAACCTCTGACCTGTGAACATCAGTCCTGCCGGCACAAGGGTTTAACCCACCTCACCACTGTCAAATTTTGTTCGTTTTCATGGTTTCCTTCTTTCTGCTACCGCATACCATGCAACTGTGGACAAGTCTACATAGGGACTCCCAAACGCAGCATTGCCCAAACACGAATCAAGGAACATGAAAGGCACTGCAAACTATTTCAACCAGAGAAGTCAGCCTTAGCAGAGCACCTGATGAACCAATCTGGATACAGCATATTATTGGCCAACACAGAAATGCTGGACCACTCTCACAACCACCATGTCAGATGACACAGAGAAGCCATTGAAATCCACAAGCATGTGGACAATTTCAACAGAAAGGAGGAAACCATGAAAATGAACAAAATCTGGCTACCAGTATTTAAAAAAACCTCTAAAATCAGGACAGTAAATAAATAACAACACTCAGAATACAGGGGAATTCCAGACAGGAAACAATCAGGGCAGGCTAACACTTCCCAACAAAGAATTCCCCGAGGCAGGAAGCAGTCAGGCTTTGAAGCTGCAAGGCCATTCAATGCTTATCAAGCTGGCCAATGGCAACACTCACACTTGCTCCAAACAGATAAGAGTGCTTTCTCCCACCCTGGACATTCCACAGATTGATAAACCCCATTTGCCTAGTTTCTAACAGACCTCACAACCTCTGAGGATACCTGCCATAGATGTAGGCGAAACATCTAAAATCAGAACAGTAAATAAAGAACAACACTCAGAAAACAAGACAGGAAACATTCAGGGCCAGCTAACACCTCCCAACAAAGGATTCCCCCCAGGCAGAAAGCAGCCAGGCTTTGAAGTTGCCATAGATGTGGGCGAAACGCAAGGAGAGAATGCTTCTGTAACATGGCCATACAGCCTGGAAAGTTCACAGCAACCCACTACATGATATGTAGTTACAGAATGCAACCTATAAATTTTCTGCAACCATGAACTACAACTCCCACTATCCCCAGCCAGCATGACTAGTCTATTTGAGTTCTTAGTATATTACCATGAGATTTAACAGCATGGTAGATCTGGACTAGCAGAGGAAATTTGTGTGAAAATTCCTTTTCTGCTAGATGCAGAAAGAGGTGGAAAAAATATGCTAAAGGGCTTTGAACATGTACAGAGTGTCCACTGATTGCCACTGAAATCATCCACTGTCTGACTTTTATCCTCTTATGATAAGAGGAAAGGAAATCTTGACAGAAAGGCAATGGTTTTCTCAACGGATTTGAAACTTGGCATCAATCTATTTGGAAAAGTCTTGTTGTTAATGACGTGTTTTGGGAAACTATCAATCTGGTCTCTACTTCCAAAACAAAACAAAAACCCAACACATAGGCCTGCAATGAAAATATTTTTTCGCAATACTGTAGCTGTTTGTAATGTCTTTTGCAGGCTTGCAAATATATCTTTGATGTGAAACTTTGAAAAGTATTAAAAAGAAAGGAAAAAAGTAATCACAACATTTGCAGAAATATCTATGGTTTTATTTAGAAGACTACGCACGCAGTACGAGCATTCAACTCAGCTTGCTCAGGAATGTATAATTCTTCGAGGAATGATTGGACTGCAATTCCCAGAAGTTGTCAATGCAGAGGGATGATGGGAAGTGGAGTCCAGTAACCCCTCAAAGCACCCCCCCCCCCACTGATGTATTAGAAACTTGTGGTTTTGAGGGAAAACTAGTGAGAGGGATTGGCAAAATGGAGATATTCTGGGGCAGAGGATGCAATAATCGGCCCTCCGTATCCACAGATACTGAATCGAAGGATTTTCCTATGGTTGGACAATATTGATCTTTTTGCCATTTGATAGAAAAGACACAATTTGTCGATGGTTCATTGAAGCCCACACTGCTTAGCTTCTAAAAGCAAGAAAAGATGGAGTGTGTTCCAGATTGAACAGTGGACTCCTTCCAGCCAAGACTGAGATACATAAACAGAGCAAGGCTTGTCTAAAGCAAACACAAAAGAGTTCATGGCCTGGTGAGATTCATTCCTGGGACGTCCTGACTCATTGCTCATGCTCCTCTTAGTCACTGAAATACACCAGTTTTCAGGGAACTGAAGGTTGTCCTCCCATGTCCCATGTTTTCCATTAGTTATAGAACACAGAACAGGGTCTTTCTATTTGGATCCATTTTTATTGCAGCAGGACCTCGATATCTGCTGGGGATTTATGGATACCAAAATCAACAGATTCTCACGTCCCATTAATACAAATGGTATCTCTTCTATAAAATGGCAAAAAGGTTAATATTTTCCAGCCATAGATGTGTAGATCATGAATCTATCTATCTATCTATTATTATTACTACCCCACTTTTCTCTCAGACTTGGGACAAAAAGCAGCTCACACTTTAAAAGGTGATACAATGAAAAACATACCAAAGGAAACTGTTAAAATGGCATTAAACTAAGATAAATAGTAAAGCAGATGGAAAGATAAATAACTTTTAAAACTAATTCCCTAGAAGGCAGGCTTGGAGTCCCATTTGGGGGGGGGGGGGGAAAGCGGGATAAAAGTAAATAATAATTATTATTATTATTATTATTATTATTATTATTATTATTATTATTCTTTTACTGACACAAAAACACAGTATGACACAGCAAACGAGATATATATGCTGGATTTTGTATCACAAAATCACAATTTGAACACTTCCCAAGCATTCAGGACTGTGTGATGTATTTTTGAATTATTATTATTATTTCTATAACTACTGCTGCTGTTGCTGCTGCTGCTGCTACTACTACTACTACTACTACTACTACTACTGCTATTAAAAGACTCTGGCACAAGACAGTAAAGGTGGTCCCAGTGGTGATCAGCACACTGGGTGCAGTGCCTAAAGACCTTGGCCTGCACTTAAACACAATCGGTACTGACAAAATTACCATCTGCCAGCTGCAGAAGGCCACCTTACTGGGATCTGCACGCATTATTCACCAATACATCACACAGTTCTAGACACTTGGGAAGTGTCCGACGCGTGATCCAATACAACAGCCGGCGATCTTGTCTGCTGTGGACTAATCTTGCTGTGTTTCTAATAACAACAACAACAACAACAATAATAATAATAATAATAATAATAATAATAATAATAATAATAATAATTGGACAGGGAGATACGATCTGCCAAATAGCCTCAACCTGAATGATACTGTTGTCGTTGTTATTATGATTATTTTACTGACACAAAACACAGTATGTCACAGCAAATGAGCTAAATATGCTGGATTTCGTATCACAAAATGACAAGTCGAACACTTCCCAAGCGTCTAGGACTGTGTGATGTATTATTATTATTATTATTATTATTATTATTATTTTACTGACACAAAAACACAGTATGACACAGCAAACGAGATATATATGCTGGATTTTGTATCACAAAATCACAATTTGAACACTTCCCAAGCATTCAGGACTGTGTGATGTATTTTTGAATTATTATTATTATTATTATTATTATTATTATTATTATTATTATTATTATTGCTGCTGCTGCTGCTACTACTACTACTACTACTACTAATAATAATAATGATAATATGCCACTTTTTCTTACTAATACTAGTACTAATAATAATGTGGCACTTTTTCTCTCTAAAAGAGACTTAAAAGTGATAAACAATGGTAAAAACAATACAATATGTAATTTAAAACTAAAAGACGATAAACATTAAAGGAATGTGTAGGTCATAACCAGCTCTCTAAATTGTGTTTGGAAACAAACTAGACCCAGTGGTGCTATTATAACAAGGGAGTTGTGTGAATCTTCAGAAAATAATCCCATTGGCAGCGCTGGAGAGCCATTGTTTATGGTCAGAGCTGACAAAACTGCTGGGCCAATGCCTTAATACGAGGCAGCTATTTAATACCAAGCTATGCAAAAATGGAAGAAGAATCCTGGGATCAAAACAAAGGTGAAGTACCCTGGTCACTCAACCATTTGTATGTTCTCTCCAAGCAACAGTTAAGCCACAAAAGGGGGTGCTGGTGCTCTTTATTTGTGGGGAGGGTGGATAGTACATCATGAAATTAAGCTCAACTTGAAGCAGGGAAGAAATGAGAATAAACTCACAGGTGATATTTACAGTATCTATGGGGGTAATATTCCTGGCTTGCCCATGAAAACAGGAAACTGCAGATAATAGCAAACACTACCTCTATAGTAGGCATGGGCAAACTTCAGACCTCCATGTGTTTTGGACTTCAACTCCCACAATTCCTAACAGCCAAGGCCCAAAACACCTGGAAGGCTGAAGTTTGTCCATGCCTGCTCTATAGAGTTGTATTGTTTCACTCCACTAGCATGAAGGCTAGAGAACTTCTTGGAAACATGTCTGAAGCTCTTAGAATGGAAAAACTGGCTTTCTATGTCTGGGTCTTCGTGGCTGTCCTGGTTTCTTTTGCCAATGTCCATCGACTGAGCCAGGAGTGAGCCATTGCCAAGGCTGAACTTTGGTTTTGGACTTTAGCTCCCAGAATTCCTGATTGGTGCCCAGGTTGGCGGGGACTTTGCGGGGTTAAAAAATCCAAAACAGTAAGAGGACCAAAGTGGCCCAGGAGATCCCACTGACCTTCCAGGAAACCATAGAGGGCCAGATCCTTTTCTCGACTTTGGTTATTTTTTAATTAAATCTCAATGTTCCCAATGTCTTGAGCATGTATTACAGGGGTCCTCAAACTAAGGCCCGAGAGCCAGATGAGGCCCTCCAAGGTTATTTATCTGGCCCTTGCTTAGGGTCAACCTAAGTCTGAAATAACTTGAAAGCACACAACAATCCTATCTCATCAGCCAAAAGCAGGCCCACACTTCCCATTGAAATACGAATAAGTTTCTATATGTTAAAAATGTTCTTCATTTTAATTATTGGATTGTTTTTAAGTGTTCTTTGCACTACAAATAAGATATGTGCAGTGCGCATAGGAATTCATTCATTTTTTTTTCCAAATTATAATCCGGCCCTCCAACAGTTTGAGGGATTGTGACCTGGCCCTCTGTTCAAAAAGTTTGAGGACCCCTGATGTATTAGGTCCTCTCCTTATCTGGATCATTATCTGTTGGAATAAAGTGTTCTCCTGAGCTTAAAACATCTCCATGGTCTGTGGTGGAGAGAAGAGAGGGTGTAGTTTGGGATAAAATATTTTAAAATTGTTTTTATTGTGGTCCTGGGGGCCACAAACATAGGCTTCAGTCCCATTCAACCCATGGAATTCATCTGATTTGCAGCAACAACATCCTACAACCCTCAATCAGCTCCTAACTGTATCCATGTTCTATTAACCTTACACAAAGATGAGAAAACAGATGTGGAAGGTTGAGAGTTGTACCCAGTCAGAGGAAGGAAAATACCATAGAAAGACCCAACTGAGACTTGAGGATGTGCCCCGTCAAACGGTACAAAGTCACGGCCAGCTGTTCCCATGCAAAATAAAATAAAAAAGCTTGCATTGATCTCCGGTTATAAATCACAGTGCAAAGGTCCCTTTCAAATTCAGGCACATGCAAAAGCATTTGGAGGGACGCTGCCATGCCAACTCCCTAACGTCATGTGCCAATGCCAAGCTGGCATTGTCTTGCATGCGCCTTTTAGCAACCCCCTCCCCAAACGTATGTCGGGGAGGATTTCTGCCCAGATGGTCTCCACTCACCATCCTTGTGCACAGGGGAGCCGTGGTGCAGGGCGCCGGCCCACGACCACCGTTGCTGCCGGATTTCAGCCCAGGTTTTCTTTGCGGAGCGCTGGATGGCAGCTTCGTATCGCTCCTAAGAAAGATGGAAAAGAAAGGCATCAGGAAAGACAAAGTGCTTGAAATGTCACGAAGCCTTCAACAGTCAAGCAGGAGTCCTGAGGCTGATGCAAGAAATGGGAAAAGGTAGGGGGTGGATAGATGGATGGATGTCTTCTTTGTTAGAGCATGCAAGCAATCAGTGATTGCGTTTGTGTGTCAACTGTAAAGTAACACATATGAAGCTGATTGGTTGGCAATGCACAGGATGATGGCTGAGCCTGGAACTTTTGGATACTGTTGCAATTTTGTTCAGGCTCGAGCTATGCACGTGTTCAGAGTGAAGGAGAGAGAAGCAGAGAGAAACAGACTGTTTTTACTTCTTGGCTGCTGAAAAGAAGGTCTCTCATATAGAATAATAGAGCTGGAAGAGACCTTGTGGGCAATCCAGTCCAAACCTCCTATCAAGAAGCAGGAAAACCGCATTCAAAGCACCCCCAACAGATGGCCATTCAGACTCTGTTTGAAAGCCTCCAAATGGATAAAAAATACAATTTTTAAATCTCTCATGAAAGGACATTTACTGAGTTAATGCAACTGATCATACTGTACGTATGTCGTTCTGAATTTAGAAGCGTATACTACTTGTTCTTTATTGTTCACCTGCATGGCATATTTTCTTTATCTGGCAAGGCAGTATGTAGGCTGATCCAACGTGAGCTACACACATTTTATTTTACACTAGCCATGCCCTGCCATGTGTTGCTGTGGCCCAGTCTGTGTATATGTATTTTGTGTGTGTATATAAGTGTATATGTGTGTATATATATTTGTGTATATGTGTATATATGTGTGTTTGTGTGTATATATGTGTGTGTGTGGGTTTGTGCATGTGTTGTAATGTATTTTTTGTTTTTTGGCTTTTAAAGTCTCTGCTGCTGCATTTTTCAGTGTTTTTCTGAGTGATTGTCACTTGTTGGCCTGATAGGTGTATTGTGGCCAAATTTGGTGTCAATTTGTGCAGCGGTTTTTGAGTTATGTTAATCCCACAAACGAACATTACATTTTTATTTATATAGATTCTGCCACATGCTTGTACACAAAGGCTGGCTCTCAGTGATGTTACTGGATTAGGTGTTGTGTGGTCACTGGGACAGAATGATGACATGTGGATGAGGGGAAAAGAGGAAGGCAGGAAAGAGCCACAAAGAGAGCCTGCCACGTATTGTTATGGTGTTGCCAGGGAGACATTGTGAAGTAGGCCTTCTGAGAGCTGGAGAAGGGAGAAAGCAGGCAACCAATGTTTCAAATGATGCCTGGTGAGATATATGTCAGTAATATTAAAAATTAACTGGGTATTTTGATTACAAAAGTGTGAGTCAAGCACTGAAAGAGTTAGTAGATCGAAGCCTTTTAGAGTCAGTGGGATAAAGCTAGTGTCGCCCTGGGGAGAGTGAGTAGGCCGAAGCCTGTTAGGGTCAGTGGGCCAAAGCTAGTGTCGTCCTGAGGAGAGTGAGTAGGCCGAAGCCTGTTAGAGTCAGTGGGCCAAAGCTAGTGTCGTCCTGAGGAGAGTGAGTAGGCCGAAGCCTGTTAGAGTCAGTGGGCAAAAGCTAGTGTCGTCCTGAGGAGAGTGAGTAGGCCGAAGCCTGTTAGAGTCAGTGGGCAAAAGCTAGTGTCGTCCTGAGGAGAGTGAGTAGGCCGAAGCCTGTTAGAGTCAGTGGGCCAAAGCTAGTGTCGTCCTGAGGAGAGTGAGTAGGCCGAAGCCTGTTAGAGTCAGTGGGCCAAAGCTAGTGTCGTCCTGAGGAGAGTGAGTAGGCAGAAGCCTGTTAGAGTTAGTGGGCCAAAGCTAGTGTCGTCCTGAGGAGAGTGAGTAGGCCGAAGCCTGTTAGAGTTAGTGGGCCAAAGCTAGTGTCGTCCTGAGGAGAGTGAGTAGGCCGAAGCCTGTTAGAGTCAGTGGGCCAAAGCTAGTGTCGTCCTGAGGAGAGTGAGTAAGCCTGGTAGGTAATGGGCCAAAGCTAGGGTCGTCCTGAGGAGAGTGAGTAGGCCGAAGCCTGTTAGAGTCAGTGGGCCAAAGCTAGTGTCGTCCTGAGGAGAGTGAGTAGGCCGAAGCCTGTTAGAGTCAGTGGGCCAAAGCTAGTGTCGTCCTGAGGAGAGTGAGTAGGCCGAAGCCTGTTAGAGTCAGTGGGCCAAAGCTAGTGTCGTCCTGAGGAGAGTGAGTAGGCCGAAGCCTGTTAGAGTTAGTGGACCAAAGCTAGTGTCGTCCTGAGGAGAGTGAGTAGGCCGAAGCCTGTTCGAGTTAGTGGGCCAAAGCTAGTGTCGTCCTGAGGACAGTGAGTAGGCCGAAGCCTGTTCGAGTTAGTGGACCAAAGCTAGTGTCGTCCTGAAGAGAGTGAGTAGGCCGAAGCCTGTTAGAGCGTCACCACTTTTCTGAGGATCCTGCACCTCTGAAACCCAGCAAATGTGAAGGTTTGACCAGAGGGCGAAAGGACCACGATTCACGAGGAACTGAAACTAATCCTCTCTTCCTCTTCCCTTTGAAGTTCTTCCATTCCCTACTACTCTGATATTTCTGTGGCAAACCCCATTCCGTGCCTTCCTAGAGTGTTCTCATCCCATCTCAGGCCAACCTTGTTCTTCTCCAACTTCTGACGTTGGCGCTCTTCCAGGGCGGCCCGGCGTTTCTCGGCTCGAATCCGCTGCTCCTCGAGCCGCCGCCGCCGCTCTTCCAGCTGTTTCTCCCGCAAGACCCTCGCCTTCTCCTCCTTCTCCAGCCACAGGGCCCGCTTGGACGCTGTTGGAGGAAAAGATAAAGACAGATGGGATGGAGTGATAGAGCGTTGAGCCTGGTCTGCAGACACAGACACATTCACACATCCCTAGGGCATATCCCATTACACAGACACGCTGTGGTTTAGATTTCATCCAACAAGTCCCCCAGGATGGGAAGGAAACAGAATTTGGTGGAAGCCTTGAAACTTGATGATATGCCTGAAAGAACAGCCAAGCTGGAGGAGAACAAAGGCCCCATCTAGACAGTTTCAGACTACATTATATGGTCAGTGTAGATATTTATAAGATTGTTTAACTGCACTGAACTGCATTATATGAGTCTACAACATTTCATAAATGAAAACTGGGGCAAGGGCAGCCAAGCAGCATATAATAATAATAATAATAATAATAATAATAATAATAATAATAATGTATTGTCGAAGGCTTTCATGGCCGGGATCACTGGGTTGTTGTAGGTTTTTCCGGGCTATATGGCCATGTTCTGGAGGCAATTTTTCTGGAGGCAAGTTGAGGTGGTGGTCCTGGGCTCTACAGGCCAATGGATACTCCACCTCAGACATCAGAAGAGCTGCAAAACCGAGAACAAGCCACGAGAGTAAAGATGAAGATCCACCCAGAGGAAAAGTGTTCCTGCCATACATCAAGGGAACCACTGACCGCATAGGGAAGCTGATGAGGAAACACAACATACAAACAATCTACAAACCCACCAAGAAAATCCAACAAATGCTACGTTCAGCAAAGGACAAGAGGGATCCTCTCACCTCTGCAGGAGTCTACCGTGTACCATGCAGCTGTGGACAAGTCTACATAGGGACCACCAAACGCAGCACCCAGACACGCATCAAGGAACATGAAAGGCACTGCAAACTACTCCAACCAGAGAAATCAGCCATAGCAGAGCACCTGATGAACCAACCTGTACACAGCATATTATTTGGGAACACAGAAGTGCTGGACCACTCTCACAACCACCATGTCAGACTACACAGAGAAGCCATTGAAATCCACAAGCATGTGGACAATTTCAACAGAAGGAAGAAACCATGAAGATGAACAAAATCTGGCTACCAGTATTAAAAAACTCAAAAATTACAACAGCAAAACAACAGAGAGTAAACAATCAGGCACATCAGTTCACTCTCAACAAGAGATTCCCCCCAGGCGCTTCCAGGCCATTGAATGCAAATCAAGGTGATCAGCTGAAACATTACCCTGGTCATTCCACAGATATATAAACCCATTTTTCCTACTTCCAACAGACCTCACTACCTCTGAGGATGCTTGCCATAGATGCAGGCGAAACGTCAGGAGAAAAATTGCCTCCAGAACATGGCCATATAGCCCGGAAAAACCTACAACAACCTAATAATAATAATAATAATAATAATAATAATAATAATAATAATGGATGGATTGTCGATGTTGCAATCCCGGTGACAGCAGGATTGAAGAGAAACAACTGGAAAAGATGACACAGTATGAGGATTTAAAGATCGAACTGCAAAAACTCTGGCACAAACCAGTAAAGGTGGTCCCAGTGGTGATCGGCACACTGGGTTCAGTGCCTAAAGACCTTGGCCTGCACTTAAACACAATCAGCGCTGGCAAGATTACCATCTGCCAGCTGCAAAAGGCCGCATTTCTGTTTACGAACCCACGCAATCTCTTTGATCATCTGGAGAAGTCCTGCTCTCGCTCCCGCCTCCTTCGCAAGCGCGATTGGTGGGGACAAGGGAGAGGGCCTTCTCTGTGGTGGCCCGCCGACTCTGGAACTCACTCCCCAAGGATATCAGACAAGCCCCCACATTGGCAGTCTTTAGGAGGAGCCTCAAAACGTGGCTGTTCCAGTGTGCCTTCCCTGAATAAAGGAAATAATGCCCTGCTCTGATCAATTTCCTGCAAAATGTCCTCAGAAGCACTTTAACTACCTGTTGGGTTGGTCTCCCTACATTGTCTTTTAAAACCCTCCTGTTTAGATACATCGTACCTCTGTTCATGCCCAGTGTTTATTTAAAAAAAAATAATCTATTACATCTGGCCCGGTCATAAGGTTTTAATTTTTATGTGTTATTGCTTATATGTGAGTTATATTAATTGTACTGTTTTATTTGCTTGCTGATTGAAAGGTTGCAGGTTTGAATCCAGGGAGCAGAGTGAGCTCCTGCTGTTAGCCCCAGCCTCTGCCAGCTTAGCAGTTCTAAAACATGCAAATGTGAGTAGATCAATAGGTACCATTCCGGCAGGAAGGTAATGGCGCTCCATGCAGTCATGCTGGCTGCATGACCTTGGACAACGCCAGCTCTTTGGCTTAGAAATGGAGATGAGCACCAACCCCCAGAGTCGGACACGACTGGACTTAATGTCGGGGAAAACCTTTACCTTTGCTATTTTATTTAACACTAATGCAGAATAGGTCCCCTGGCCTTCATTTGTCTTTTTATTCACTTTAAGGCAGGGGTCCCCAAACTACGGCCCGCGGGCTGGATCCGGTCCCCCGAGGGCATCTATCCGGCCTGCGGGCTGTGGAGAAGGGTGAGAGGGAGCGAAGGGGGAGGGAGGTGGCGGGCAAAGAGGGGGAGGCGGCGGGCAAAGCGGCTTGGGCCTGCTTTGCCCTCTGTCTCTGTGGGCCCAGCCTCTCCTGCCTTCGGGATGTGGCCTTGCTGCATCCAGGAGGCAGGAGAAGGGGGGGGGGGGGAGGCGGCGGGCAAAGCGGCTTGGGCCCGCTTTGCCCTCCGTCTCCATGGGCCCAGCTTCTCCTGCCTTTGGAATGCGGTCTTGCCGCATCCCGGAGGCAGGAGAAGGGGGGGGGAGGGGGGGCAAAGGTTGTCCCCGTTAAGTCTAGTCACATCCAACTCTGGGACTCTGGTGCTCATCTCCGTTTCTAAGCCAAAGAGCCGGCGTTGTCCTTAGACACTTCCAAAGCCATGTGGCCGGCATGACTGCATGGAGCGCCGTTACCTTCCTGCTGGAGCGGTATCTATTGATCTACTCACATTTGCATGTTTTCAAACTGCTAGGTTTATATTTATTCTAAACTGCTAAGTTTATATTTGTTAAAATAGTTCTTCATTTTAATTATTGTATTATTTAAAGTGTTTTTTGCACTACAAATAAGATATGTGAGGTGTGGATAGGAATTCATTCATGTTTTTTTTTTTTCAAATTATAATCCGGCCCTCCAACAGTTTGAGGGACTGTGACCCGGCCCTCTGTTCAAAAAGTTTGGAGACCGCTGCTTAAAGGTAAAGGTAAAGGTAAAGGTAGCCCCCTGACATTAAGTCCAGTCATGTCTGACTCTGGGGTGTGGTGCTCATCTCCATTTCTAAGCCGAAGAGCGTTGTCCGTAGACACCTCCAAGGTCATGTGGCCGGCATGACTGCATGGAGCGCCGTTACCTTCCCGCCGGAGCGGTACCTATTGATCTACTCACATTTGCATGTTTTCGAACTGCTAGGTTGGCAGAAGCTAAGGCTGACAGCGGAAGCTCACGCCGCTCCCCGGAATCGAACCTGCGACCTTTCGATCAACAAGCTCAGCAGCTCAGTGCTTTTACCCACTGCGCCACCGGGGGCTCCTGGCTAAAGGTACAGATGTTAAAATGTAAATTGTGTAATAAAAATGTGAATGTAGATAGGCAGATGAGAAATCCTCCAACATTTCACAAATGGAAAATGTGCAGCCAAGTTACATCAAAACATGATAAATAGATGATAGAGAGATATATATATACATTATTTAAATACACACACAAACACACAAACTTTGTAACCGGTGAAAGCAGGCAGGGCACAGGGGTCCCCAAATGCAACAATTGTGGAGCAGGATACTAGTGGAAGGGAGGAAGAGGGGAGGGAGGGAAGTTGGGGCTTAGGCCACACACAAAAGGAGAGGGAGCTGGCCTGAAAAACCCATTCAGACCCAACAAAAGGGGAATGGGGGTGGAAAGTGATTCAAAAGGGGATGGTACGAAGGGCAGGAGGGGGCAAGCGGAGGGAGGGAGGCAGGGCATTGGAGCAGAGAGCGGCACCCAGCAAAATGAATAACGACAGACCCGGCCTCCGGGGAAAGGAATGTTCTGAGTTCCTCTGCACCCCACAATTGCACAGAACAATCCTCACTGCTTAAAACCTGTATGTTTGTTTAGATCCTAGGAAAGAACAAGTATCCTTGCTTTCCCACTCCTAATCACAAAAAGTATCCAAAAAGATACTTGTAAACATTATTTTTAAAAAATTATAAAACCCCAACCTCCTAAAATCTATGGGGAAGAAGAATTTATTTATTTAGAGTTTTTATACCCTGGTCTTCTCACCTCCGGGGAGGGACTCAGGCCGGCTAACAACATAAAATTCAATACAATAAGAAAAACATTATAGGTCATCAATATAAAATACATTAAAATACACTTCATACAATTCATAGAAATTACAGCAAAAATCAGTTCGTCCAAAAGAATCACAAATTCATCGCCATCCGCCAGAAAGGCCAGTAGTTATTGACTCAGTCATCATTCTGCGAATGCAGTATCCCAAAGCCATGTTTTTACCTGCTTTCTAAACGTCAGGAGGGAAGAGGCAGATCTAATCTCCATCGGGAGGGAGTTCCAAAGCCGAGGGGCCACCACCGAAAAGGCCCTGTCCCTCGTCCCCACCAAACGCAATTGCGAAGGCGGTAGGATCGAGGGCAGGGCCCCTCCAGAAGATCTTAACAACCTTGATGGTTCATAGGGGAGAATCCGTTCGGATAGGTAAACTGGGCTGGAGTCATTTAGGGATTTATAGGTCAACACCAGCACTTTGAATTGTGCTTGGAAGCTAATTGGAAGCCAGTGGAGCTGGCACAACAGAGGAGTAGTATGCTCCCTGTACCCCGCTCCCGTTAGTAATCTGGRTGCCGCTCGTTGTACTAGTTGTAGCTTCCGGGCAGTCTTCAGAGGCAACCCCACGTAGAGAGCGTTGCAGTAGTCTATACGGGATATAACCAGAGCATGTACCACCGTGGCCAAGTCAGGTTGAAAAAGGTTGAAATTCCCCTCTAATCATAGAAAGAATGATTAGGGGGGAATTTCATTTTGAATTTAGTACATTTTGGGGGAACTTCAGGCATGGTTTTCCCATATTCACCCCCAACCTCAAATTTCCCAGATTTATTTATTTARTATTTTATACCGCGCCCTCCCTCATCCTAAAGGGGACTTAGAATGGCTTATAAGTTATATGTATATACAATATATTGTATTACATTATTATGATCAATATTATATGTACATACAAAATATTATATTATTAGCATAGCACAATACCASTATTATATATTACTATATTGTACTATACCAAAATACTGCAATTTTATTAGTAACTAGCTGTCCCCTGCCACGCGTTGCTGTGGCCCAGTCTGTGTATATGTGTTTTGTGTGTGTATATATGTGTATATGTGTGTGTACATATTTGTGTATATGTGTATATATGTGGTTTTGCGCATTCGTTGTTATGTAATTATTGTTTTTGGCTTTAAAAGTCCCTTCAGCTGTGTTTTTCAGTGTTTTATGAGTGATGGTCACTCGTTGGCCTGGTAGGTGTATTGCGTTTAAATTTAGTGTCAATTCATCCAGTGGTTTTGGAGTTATGTTCATCCCTCAAATGAACATTACATTTTTATTTATATAGATGTTACATGTAATAAAGGTAAGTTTTCCCCTGACATTAAGTTTAGTTGTGTCCGACTCTGTGTGGTGGTGCGCATCTTCATTTCTAAGCCAAGGAGCCGTCGTTGTCCACAGACATGTGGCCGGCATGATTGTATGGAGCACCATTACCTTCCCGCCAGAGCGGCACCTATTGATCTATTCACATTTGCATGTTTTCAAACTGCTAGGTTGGCAGAAGCTGGGGCTAACAGTGGGAGCTAATGGCACTCCCTGGATTCGAACATGTGACCTTTTGGTCAACAAGTTCAACAGCTCAGCGGTTTATCCCACTGGGCCACCCGGGGCTCCATTTGATGTAATATATAATATACAATTATTATATTGTATTATTATTAGTATTATATTGTATTAAATTATAATATTATCAATCTACAATTCTGTTCACATAAAGTGAATTCCTTTCCAACAACGGGAAAATGACCCTATCACAGAGGAAGCCATTTATTAAATTGGATTTTAAAATATAATGTAGTACAACCCCTGTATACACAGGACCAGCACCCACAGTTCTACATAGCCATAATTTGACAAAATAAGTCAACATTTTCCATAGAGTACCCTCTCTAGAAATTATCTGGGTCTTCTAGGCGATTCTATGGTATCATTCTGATGGAAAGTGCCCTGGAGGACCCAGAAAATCCATAGAGAAGATACTTTATGATAATGTCTGGCTCACTCTAGGCATTTTCTAGGTCCTTCAGTGAGATTCTACGAAATCCTTGGGCCAGAAATCCTTCATTTCAACAGGGTTCGCTATTATCCAGTTTTCTGTTTTAATGGTAAATTCAGGAACATATCTTTTTGGATACAGGACTGGCTGCCATGCAGTACACAGTACAACTCCCATATCTGCAAAATATGTCCCCCCTATGCATTTTCTAGGTCTTCCAGTACAACTCTATGGTATTCTTGGGCTGGAAGACTTTCATAGGGGTTCATTATTATCTACAGTTTCCTGTCTCCATGGTACGTTCAGAAACATATTCCAGGGGATACGAGGATGGTACTATATGGTTAGTTAAACTATGACTCCTGTATCTTCAACATATGTCATCTCTAGTGATGCTGAGGGTCTTCCAGCATGACTGTACTGTATTCCTGTGTTGGAAGACCTTCAAAAGGGTTCAGTATTATTCACGGTTTCCATGGTAAGTTGAGGAACATATTCTAAAGAATAGGCAGGTGATACTGAACGGTTAAAGTACAGTGGACAGTACAATCATCATAACTGCAAATTATGTCCCTTCTATACATTTTCTAGGTATTCCAACATGACCTCAGCTTGGGCTCGAAGTCATACATTTCAACAGAGATCATTACTATCCATGGTTTCATGGTCCATTGTAAGTTCAGGAACATATTCCAACAGAAATGGAGACAGTACTATAGTTAGCTACAGTACATTATACAGTATGGCCCCAAACCTGCAAAATATGCCCGCTCTAGGCATTTTCTAGGTTTTCCAACAAGATTCTATGGTATTCTTGCACTGGAAGACCTTCATAGGCGTTCATTATTATTCACGGTTTCCTGTCTCCATGGTAACTTTGAGAACATAATTTGAAGGATAGGAGGAATACTACAGCACAGTATATAATACGACCCCCGTATCTTCAGAGTATGTCCCCTCCAGGCATTTTCGAAGTCCTCCAAATAAATTCTATGGTATTCTTAGGCTGGAAGGCCCTCATTTCAATAGGGCTCATTTTCACGGTTAGGCATAAGTCTGAGAACATATCCCCTGCAAATATGATGGCCGTACCGCATTTGTGTGCCAGCCTCCCTCGATCACATAGATACAAATACAGATATGAGTTCGGTTCTTACCCAGATGCTTGGCTCGCTCCTCACGCCGCTCTCGAGCCTGTTTATGCCTGGCTTGAGCCTTCTGTGTATCTGCTGGAGAGAGACAGAGATGTTAAACCCTCGAAAATACCAGCTTGAAAAATCTCTTTCAATGTTCCCTCCAGTCTCCTAGATCAGCAGTTATGCCTATTTCGAATGAAACTGTCATTTTGGCGAAATTTCAGGGATACTTTTCCTGCATTCCCTGTGTCATATGATCTGGGTGTGGTTCAGTGGTTACCCTTTTCTGGCTTGGATGCATCACAACCTATCCATTTGGCACCAGAAAACTCTTTGATATTTGCAGACAAGTTCTTTTAAATTATACCCCTTGTAGCATCTAGCTTGTGCTCAACATGGTTGGATTCGATGTTCTCTTACTGTTTGCACTCCAAAGTTGAAAAGTTGACAATTTTCCACTTGCTATTCAAAGGTTAGACAATCTCACTGCTACTCATTAATATGTGTTTTATCCAATCCCAATTTCAGGGAAATGTGCAACTTTTATAGGAAATGCGTGGTACATCTATCCAGGCATGGGCTGAGGTTTTGGACTTCAACTCCCACAATTACTAACAGCTGGGAGAATCTATACTGTAGTATTAATTTGATACTACTTTAACTGCCATTGCTTAGTGCTATGAAATCCTGGGATCTGTAGTCTGATGAGGCATGATCATTGTGCTGGTACGGCTGTACCAGGAGCTCCAACTTCATTTTCTTTCTATTAAATGTCTACATGCATTCCAAGGTTTCAGGCATTCTGCAAAGGTGACTTCCCTTGGTTTGCATTTATAGGGCCAATGACCCATCAATCATTGTTAAGTTTTGGTTCCGCCCCTCTCTCCAGGTCCCTGGGAGGAGAGGGAGCCATTTTTAGTTCAGTCTTACAGAAGGAAATTAAGCTACAGGACGTGGACCAACTCCACCTGCAGAAAAGCTTCATTTCCTACAGCTTCGAGGGAAACAGCTTCAGAGGAAACAGTTTTACAGACCCAAAGAACTCCAGCTGGAGAATCTACAAAGCCTTGACTGGTAGGTCTACTCGGGACCCAAGACGTAGTTTGGAACCGGTAGTAGGACCCACATCAGCAAAGCCTACATAGTAGATTGCCTGGGAGAGGTTAAAAAAGGGTTTTCCTTTCAAAAGAAAAGAAACAGTTCTCAAAAGCCAGTTGCCTGTCCCTTGTGGATAAGATAAATAAAGCTACCAGTCATTTGTATGATTGAAGAAGTATTTGTTTAATTTTTTCAATAATAAAGGACTTTGTTAAACCTTTCAAGCCTCTAAAAACTCTTCCAGAGGAAAATCCTTAGGGCCTCTCTATCAAGGCACCCTGGCTTCCTGCTGGGCAAAAAGTGCACAATTATTACAGGCCCAGCGCGTGACAGCACGATCATTATTTGGCAGAAGAGGTTAAAGTGTCTGTAAAACTACAACTTAAGTTTTAATGTATATTTATAATTATTTTGATTGTATTGATATATTTATTATGTGTTATATATTATGTTTGGCACTGAATTGCTGCCTGTTTGGAAACCATTCTGAGTCCTTCCCTGGAGGTCGAGAAGGATGGGGTATAAATGTTTTAAATAAATAAATAAACTCCCAGGATCCCATAGCACTGAGCCATGGCAGTTAAAGTATTGTCAAACTGAATTAATTCCAGTGTAGATATACTCCTCTGTTCATTTCCCTGTTTGCTCTCTTGGAGGTGGACTCTTCCATTTTGCTGAGTTTTAGGGAAGGAGCTTAGGATCCCCCTTAGAGGTCTAGCTCCGCTGGTTTAGCCCTGTTGGTTCAGAGCTTGGTGGAAAGACTCTTTCCCCTCATTCTTTCTTCGGCAGAGCTTTGAGTAGTTGAGCCAGAAAATGTCTGGTCAGGCTTAGTGATCTGAAACAGGCATCCTAAGCATGTATATGCCAAAGGCTATAAGCAGTACATGTCAAAGATCATAGATGTACTTGCCTTAGAGTCTATAGTTTTGGATATGCCTCAAAGACCTAACCCTGAGAGACTTTAGCTGTACATGCCTCAAAGACCTAAGAAGTACATGCCTTAAAGATTAGAGTTGTGCTTACCAATATAGCTTAGAGCAATGTTTCTCAACCTGGGGGTCGGGACCCCTGTGGGGGTCGTGAGGGGGTGTCAGAGGGGTCGTCAAAGACCATCAGAAAACACAGTATTTTCTGCTGGTCATGGAGGTTCTCTGTGGGAAGTTTGGCCCAATTCTATTGTTGGTGGGGTTCAGAATGCTCTATGGTTGTAGACAAACTATAAGTCCCAGCAACGACAACTCCCAAATGTCAAGGTCTATTTCCCCCAAATTCCACCAGTGTTCACATTTGGCCACATTGAGTACTCATGCCATGTTTGACCCAGATCTATTATTGTGCTCTCTGGATGTAGGTGAACTACAACTCCAAAACTCAAGGTCAGTGCCCACCAAACCCTTTCAGTATTTTCTGTTGGTCATGGGAGTTCTGTGTGCCAAATTTGGTTCAATTCCATCATTGGTGGAGTTCAGACTGCTCTTTGATTGTAGGTGAACTATAAATCCCAGCCACTACAACTCCCAAATGACAAAATCAACCCCCTCCCCAACCCCGCCAGTATTCAAATGTGGGCATATCGGGTATTTGTGCCAAATTTGGTCCAGTAAATGAAAATACATCCTGTATATCAGATATTTACATTATGATTCCTAACAGTAGCAAAATTACAGTTATGAAGTAGCAACGAAAATAATTTTATGGTTGGAGGTCACCACAACATGATGAACTATATTAAGGGGTAGCTGCATTAGGAAAGCTGAGAACCACTGTCTTACAGTTTGTTCAGTAAACTTAATTGGTTAAATTTAATCTCATCTTCAGAGTCTTATTTTAAAGAATTAAAGTGCATATAGGGCATACCGATGGTCATTGGGAAAATAGCCAGACATGCACATAGTTTTCTTTCCATTCTCGGCGCGCCATCACATACACTATGTAACAAAATCTGAAAAAAAAAAATCTGTTCCTGATTCCTGGTTGAAAGTGCTATTTCCAGTTTAACTGAGTGATACTTACTCTGAAGTAGTTGTTCTACTCCAGAAACTTTGTTTTGAGGGCTGCCATAAATTACGTTGAATTGGTTGAGATATCCATTGAAAAATTATAGCAAAATCTGCTGCAGGATGTTCCCTCCACCAAATCAAAGTTTTTGCAGTTTAATAAACTGTTTCCATATTTTTTTAAATGATAGAACCAATTTAGGAAAATACATTTATACCCCAGGAACAAAAATCATGTTACATAGTGTTGTTGTTGCTATCCTGCTTTTTCTCTACAAAAAAGGCGACCCAAACAACTTACAGCAAAACTGATACTTAAAAAAAAAACACCAAAATACTGTTGAACAGGGAAGGAATATCTAAAAACAGACATAGGAAACGATCTAGCTTGTGTGTTTTCTCCATCTCCAGAGAGCCCTTCCTCCAAGCCTCAACTAGAAAGGAATGCTTCCTGCAATCTTTTGATTCCTTCTATAAAGGCAACTCTTTGGCAACCGACCAGCTGCCGCGGGAAGAGCTTTCAATTGGCTGTTTTTCCTAAAAACAAAACCCATCCACTAATGCATTTTAAATTGTTTGTAAGTCAAACAAGTGCTTTATTATTGCCGTGTACTTAATTGCTCTTGTTCAAATGTGACAAGCATTCCTGTTTTTTAACCTCTGCTTTTAAGATGTGCATTACATTTGTTTTTATTTTGTTGGATTCTCAGTTCTGTGTTAAAGGGAAAGCGAAATAAATCAAGCTCATTTATTCATGACCATAACCCCTCAATATCTAGGTTCTGTATTTATGAATTCAACCATCATGGCTTGAAAACGTTGCCTTTGAAATAATCCTGAAAAGTAATCCTTGTTTTCCTTTGGTCGTTTTATATAAGGGACACCAGATTTTGGTATCTCTGGTGGGTTCTTTCCATAATTGTGACAGTTAGAAGAACTGGTGTTTAAGACATAAAAATACATGTAGTGAGAATGTAATTGTCACTGGGCCATTTTTTAATAAGCTTGGTTAATTATATGGCATGACCCTCATGCCAAATAATTGCTTTCCACCTATGTAACCGTGAAGCTGACAGGATATTGAAAGTTACCTGGGAAAGCCAAGAGCTCAAACACTGTTTCCATCCTAAATACGAGGGGTATTTTTTAAGTAAGGTCCGTTTTGTTGTAAACACTAGTAGTTCGCATGCATACCGCAAAGAGCGCGTGCGTCGGGAACAACTGTGCTCAGTTTCCGCTCTGTAGCTAACCTGTACGGTTCTGTTCTGTGCTTTAAAAATGTTTAAGACTATCAACTCACCTGCCGCATGTGAGGTTCGCTCAGTGATACAGTTTTTGTCAGCAAGGAACCTGCCTGCTGCAGAAATTCATCGACAGATTTGTGAAGTGTACGGTGATACTGTTATGAGTGAAAGCAAAGTGCGTAAGTGGATACGACAATTCAAAGATGGCCGTGACAACGTCCATGATGAGGACCGCTCCGGTCGCCCTTCTTTGATTACAGACGATTTGGTGGCTTCAGTTGAAGCGAGGATTCATGAGAACAGGAGCTTCACAATAACAATAATAAAAATCTTTGAATTGTCGTACCCACTTACGCACTTTGCTTTCACTCATAACAGTATCACCGTACACTTCACAAATCTGTCGATGAATTTCTGCAGCAGGCAGGTTCCTTGCTGACAAAAACCGTATCACTGAGCAAACCTCACATGCGGAGGGTGAGTTGATATTCTCAAACATTTTAAAGCACAGAACAGAACCGTACAGGTTAGCTACAGAGCGGAAACTGAGCACAGTTGTTCCCGAGGCATGCCGGTACACGACACACGCGCTCGTTGCGGTATGCGTGCGAACTACTAGTATCTACAACAAAACGGACCTTACTTAAAAAATACCCCTCGTATCTTGGTGTCACCTTAGATCAGGGGCCCTCAAACTTTTTAAATAGAGGGCCAGGTCACAGTCCCTCAAACTGTTGGGAGGGCCGGATTATAA